AATCTTTGAGAACTCAGCCTCTCTACTCCCAGTAGTCTTATTCTCTTGTATGCCCTAGAGGCCACTTGGATAAGTCTTTGTTCTTGATTCCATGGGGATTCTCCTTGGATAAGCCAGTCTTTCACATACCAGGATCAAGAATCTGGCCACACAGAGAGCTTCTGAAGACAGTTCTGTTCACCCCTTGCTGCCTACACCCAAGAAATGAAAATTACTCCATGACTTTTGACACATCTGACCTCTTGATTTTAAAGACTGCATCCATCAGCTGAATTCCTGGTCATTTGCCCCGGAGGCCAATGACTCCCCTGTTGCAGAAACTGATATCTATCAAAATATTTGTACAGTGTCCTTGTGAGGGCCAAAGGGCTACTAGGCCCAGCCTCAGGCTTGTTAACCTTACTTTATGATGTGGAGCTGTGTAAAGTGAGAGGCCATCTCTTTTCACATCCTGGAAAAACCACACCTATTGCTGTGTTTTTCAATGCAAACAAACTGTCTGTACCCTTACTCATTCCTAAAGTGTGAAGAGCTGTGCCCCTCCCTAGGGACTCACTTGTGAAGATGTCACAGGTTTTAAGCAGCACATACTAAAGGTGGCTGTAGCTGCAAACCATGTGAAGGGTCCCATATTTTCATGACCCCTGTGTCTTGTCCTCAAGGGCTTGCTGGGACCCTCGTGTGGGAAGTGAGATACATGACATCAGAATGACAGGGGACCTGACAGGGGACCGGCAAAACTGGGCCTCCTTCCTTCCACAAATGGTTACTGTAAGATGGTTGTGGGAGTGAGATGTCACAGTCACAAGCCTTGGTCTAGCTGGTGAGTCTCTGGGGCATCTCGGCCAAGTCAGTAACCACAGGATCTTGGTTGCTGGGCCCGGGCAGAGCAATCAGAGGTGTCAGTATACTGTCAGAGAAAGCTCCTTTTTCTGGGTCTTCTTGCATCTCTTGACTCTCTAAGCCCCTTTCACTTAATTCTGGGTGTTGACAGCTCGTCACCTTCCTCCTGCCCTCATTCTGGCCTCTGGCCTGGAATCTCTCCTCTGGCTTCTGGCTCAATCCTGCAGAACTCCTGGTTTTCTGGGCCTTTGAGACTCTGGCCACACTCAAAGCTCCAGCTTTAGGGCATTCTGGCCAGCAGCCTTGATTCTCTGTGACCTTCAGGGGTCCAGGGGATTGGGTAGGTACAGTCCAGTCCCAATGGCTTCATGTCTACAAATGTCCACAAGACAGAAGAAGCTGCCGAGCTCTGTTTTTAGGGAAGCTTCATGGCTGTGAGACAGACTGGCGTTTTTCAAAGGCATTGTCATGATCACTCTGCCTTTTTGCATTGCTAACTACTTTGAAATTTCACCCTTTCTGACTCCTTCCTCTTTTGGTTATTCACCAGTGGAAGGAGGAAGTGCTGGGTGGGGTGAGTGAAAGCAGAGGGCTGGAGATGAGGGAGCCTGTGGTCTGTCCTTGCTAACAGCATCTGACGTGGGGGGCCGACATAGACAGAAAATGTACCTGCAGCTGTTCTGTCTTCTCTTCTGGTTCTCAGGTGAGTGGGTCCAGGTTTAGACTCGTGGGTGGGCTAAGCCTGAAGACCTAGCCACAGAGCTGCATGCTCCGGCAAGAAGGCGTCCTTAGTGGTACAAACATCTGTGTTTCGCCTGCTCCCCCTTCAATGTTTCAGTGACCAGGCAGAAATAGGGAGCCCTGCAGCACAAACCCAGCCTGAGGCGTAATTCTTGCCTGCTTAGGGGTCTGTGGTTGCTCCGGAGGACTGCAGCGCACCTGGGCTGCAATGCCATCTTTGTGTCTACCTTAGGAGCAGGCAGCTTCTGGAAAGAAGAGAGGGAGGAAGAGGTTTGGAGGAAGGAAGAGAATTTTCCAGATGTGGGGAGAGGTGACTCTGGGCATTTGGGGCAAAAGGAAATGTTAGAAATTGCTGAGAGCTTGAAATAGCTGAGAGCAGGCAGCGGGGAGAGGAAAAGAGGCACCGAGCTGTGGGTACCATTTTGATTAAAAATGACATTTTTGTTTTCAGTACTGGGAATCAAACCCAGGACCCACTGAATTACACCCATTCAGTGGATGATTACTGAGCTATAGAATAGGCTAAGGCACTGAGAGGTGCTATGACATGGATGAATCTTGAAAACATGATGCTAAATGAGAAAAGCCAGACACAAAAGGCCACATATCATATGATTCTATTTAAATGAAATCTCTAGGGTAGGTAGATTTGTAGGGGCAGAAAGTAAATTACTGGTGGTGTGGACAGGGAGGCGGTGGTCATGACTAGGAGGGTTTTTTGAGACAAGGTCTCGCTATGTAGCCCCGGCTGGCCCCGAACTCCTGAGGATCCTTCTGCCTCAGCCTCCAGAGTGCTGAGATTACAGGCGTGTACCACTGTGCCTGGCTGTTTTACAACTTTGTGAATGTTCTGGAAACCACTGAGTTGTGAGCTTTTAAACAATGGAATTTGTGTTATGTGAGTTACGTGTCAGTTTTTGTTTTTCTTTCGTTTTTGATAATGAGATTCAACCTGGAGAGGCCACTGTGCTGCATCCTCGGCCCTTAAATTTTTCTTTTTCCTAAAATCTTGAGCCAGGATGTGCCTGGCTGGCAGGCTGCTCTCTTCCACCTTAGCCTCTTGATTCGCAAGAGTACAAGTGTGTGCCACTGTGTCTGGATTCGTATCAAGTTTATAAGGAGATAAATGTAAATCTTTTGCTTTAAAATGCTTTAATTGGGCTGGGGATTTAGCTCAGTGGCATAAGCTCCTGCCTGGCAAGTATGAGGTCATGAGTTCAATCCCCAGTACCACAAAAAAAAAAAAAAATTAAAATGCTTTAACTTTAGAAAGGGAAAGAATGATCGTTTCTAACATAGCAAATTATAAAAGGATAAAGATTAGTAATCCAAAGGAAATCAGAGGAGGAAAATTACACATACGAAAAATCAGCAGTTTAGAAAATAAAATAGTAATATTTACCAGATTATCTCAGAACTGGTTTAGTGTAGGAAAAAGGAGGGAGAGAAACAATTACACATAAAATCTTTTGGCACATGTGGTTACTAAAAATGAAATAGTACTGAAAATGTGCTTAAGATGAATAATTGTGATAGATATGAAAGATCTAACGCAAAGAAATTCTTTATAATTATTATGCATTATGCCAGGAATGGTGGAGGAAGACCTGGATGACTCCCCCTGAAAAAGAGCTTTATCTCCATGTTCACTAAACCAGGCCCTGTACCCATATACTGACCCATAAGGAGCTGGCTAGGACTTTTCCTTATCCCTCCAGTTGGCAGTAAGCAATGCAAATGGATCTAGCCCAGGTGCTGATGTGATGTCAGTTTTGTAGACAGTATTTTAAGATTCTAAAGAAGCAAAGCTTTGTTTGCTATATTTATGTTGTGATTCCAGAACATGAAATAGGTATAAATGGACTAGGGGTGTAGCTCAGCTACAGAGTGCTTGACTAGTGTGTGTGCCCTGTGTTTTACATGCTTCATGGAAGAATTAAAAAGAAAAAAAAGAAATTGGCTGGATTCATCTTGAGATACTAGCATATCTCTGATGCCACACCTTGACAAAAAAAAATAAAAATAAAAAAAAAGAAAAAGGAAAGAACCTCACCTAGGAACACAGAGCTGAGTTCTGGCAATGAGACAGCTCTCAGATGGGTTTGTGTGACCCTGCACTTGATTATGGGTTTTTTTCCCTAGTGTTTACAAATGGAAAGAATTCACCCCAAATCTAGATTTCTGATGACCCCAAAGCAATGACATGATCTGAAATCACAGAGCTCATTTCTTGCTTGAGGACCCCGGGCTGAGCGGCGAGGGGATGGGCCTGTGATGGACCTGCCCTGCAGGCTTTCCTGGTCCTCACCACCTCCCAGAGTCTCCTTGGTGCTATGGTCTAGCATCGCTGGTCATTTTGCGGGGAGATGCGGTACTGGGGATCGAACCTAGGGCTTTCACATGACTACACCCTAGCCCTTTAGGTTGTTTTCTTTTGGGTTATGGTCTTGCTAAGGCACCGAGTTGTCCAGGTTGCCCTCAGACTTTCTGTCTCCCTACCTCACCCTTTCAGATGGTGGGGTTCAGGTGTGCACCAGCGGGCCTGTTTGTGGTCACTTTTTTTTTTTTTTTTTTACAATCATGCTTGTAAATAAACATTTTCCTGTATCTTGAATCTCCATAAAGGTGACAAAATAAAAGAACAAACAAGACAATCTTATATCTTAAGAACAAACTGCTCTGCTATCTATAATAGTTACCTTACAGTGAGGTTATAGTAATCAGGACAGTGTGGGGTTATCATGAAGAAGGATAAGTAAGTTAATCAATGGAACAGAAAGGAATCCATGAATAAGTTACAAGTTTACTGTTTGGCAAAGACACCAAGGCAATTCCGTAGGGAAAATGGAACCTATATGCTATGGGTTCCACAGCACATGGAGACCATCTGGCATCGTTGTTCTGGTCAGCCTGGGCTGGTTTACTGGGCCCCGGGAGACCACTAGAACCACCAAGGACAGCCTCAACATGCCATCTCATGAGGCTGAGTCAACTGAGAGTCACAGGTACTAAGAGTCAATGGACATCGCTGTCCCATGGGCATGGATCTTCTGCTATTTCCTCCCCTCCTAGGCAGCAAACCATAAACATGGCCACAAAAGGGCACTCCTCAAAATATGTGGATTTATTGACCATAGTGAGGTGGAGAGGCATGAATGACAGAAGCTTTTAATGCTAGGTCAATACTTTGTCCCTTTTTAGGACTGTAGTTGTACTTTTTATGCTTTTCATCTGGCCTTGGCCTGGTGGAATGCTGGAGGAGAGCAAGCCTGTTTTGGAGAGATATAATCTTCTCTTTTTAAAAAACCAGTATTGAATTTGGAAAACACTTAGATTTAGAAGTTCTTCCTAATCAAGATGCTGTGACCCTGCCTTAGAGATGAGAGGTGACAGGTTTATGGATTTGTGTCTTCCAGGCTTCTCTGCTGAGAAGAAACGTATCACTGGTCCAGGGACAGCGAGGGGCCAGGAGCGGGGCTCACTGACTGTGCAGTGTCAATATAGCTCACAGTGGAAGAGCTATCGGAAGTGGTGGTGTCGAGGGGCTGACTGGAGTACCTGCAAGATGCTGATTGAAACCGATGGGTCAGAAAGGCTGGTGAAGGAGGAGCGTTTGTCCATCAGGGACTACCAGAAGGACCTCATGTTCAATGTAACCTTGGGGGATCTCAGAAGAGATGATGCTGACAGTTACTGGTGTGGGATTGAAAAATTTGGGATTGACCTTGGGGACAAAGTTAAGGTGACCATTGTTCCAGGTAAATATGTGCCTATGTGCTTGTGTCCCTGAGTCCCACATAAGTGAATTAATTGTCATTTAGGGTGATTTATTACAAAACAAGGTTGAGTCCTGATGTTTTGTAGAACCTCAAATGACCACTTGGGGTTGGGAAAGGAGGGGCTTCTCTTAAATACCCGCTGGATCACCAGGTCTTCTCCAACTCGGGATTAAAACTTCCCAGGCGCTTCTTCCTCACAGTGCAGCTCAGTCCTGGGTCTGTGGCCAATAGAGGACAACATGGTGCCCCCCCCATTTAAGTCCTTGGACTACAGGGATCCCCTCCCGTGGTTTACAGAGACCCTAATCTCTGCTCCTTCTTTCTTGGAACCTCAGTACCTGAGGGTATTCTGCTCTCTGGGGAGCTTGGCCTTCACACCTGCTGCTCTTATGCTCCATCATCTGATGCTATGATCTTATTGCTGAGGACTGGAAAATCATCACAGTCAAACAGCTGCATTCCTGGTACCTGAAAGCCCTCTTTGAGCCATTATGCTTTTGAGCTCAATGTGGTTTTCTTCCTAAGTTCTTTTAGAATGCAGAAATTCCTGGGAGGGTCAGCTGAAGGTCTCAGTGCTTTGGTTTGGAGGAGTTTCTCTGTTGGGCTGTATTTCTGCTGTCTCTCAAACAGGCAGGACCAGCTCTAGGGCCCCTGGAGGCATGAAGCCAGTGGGGTCCTTGCTGCTCCTGGAGTCTCTGAGCTTGTTCTCTCTGGCACAGTGCAAAACCTGCACTGATTCCTAAAAATACTGTATCGGTGGGGAGGAAGCTGTCTTCAATACCTGAGCTTCAGGCTTTGCCTGAAGGAAAGGCCGTCCTGAATGTTATGATTTTTTATGGGGCAGGGAGGATAAATTGATCAACAGAACAGAAAGGCAAATCCATAAATAATTCACAAATTTGTACACTATGGGTTTCACAGTGCATGGAAATTGGTCACTGTTTTGGTCAACCTGGGGTGGTTTACAACAGGAGCCCTAGGGATCATTAGAAACCACCAAGGACAGCCTCAGCCATGTCGTGTGGCTGCGTCACCTGGGCCTTCTGAGGGTCATGGGTACTAAGAGTCAAGGGAACATCACTGCCCCGTGGACATGGATCTGCTTAGAAGTCTGACTGATGTTAGAAGTCTGATCTGGGATGTTGTTAATTGCATACAGTGCCCCTGTCCTAACTGGGTAAAGGAGCTGGGCAGGAGGTACTTGCTGAGGCATGACCATCAGCAATGGGCTTGCTTAAAGTCTAGCTGAACTTCAGGTCTCCCTAAACCATGGGTCTTTCTGGGCCCCTTACTGCCCTCCAAAGGCCTAATCAGTGTCCTTGGACTTGTACCCACCCCACCAGCCGTGGAGTCTCTGGACTCTCCTAGAAGCCCTGGGATATGAATAGTACAGGATACAACTCCTCCATACAGCCCTCTTCCAGGCACCACCAGCTAGGGTGACCCGTATTCCTCCAGGCTCAGAGCCAGGTGCTGGGCTGTGGGTGGGCTGCCAGAAGTGGTAGTGTGTAATCTGTTTGTATGTCAAGCACCACCTGCAGTGCCGACCGCACTCTCCACCACCTCTGTCTCCACCACGAACACATTTACAGTACCAGTCACCGTGGAAGAGACCATAAGCGTGCTGACTTCAACCAACGATCACTTCAGTGATGGGTAAGCCAGCTCCTACTCTGTGGTTCTCTGGCTCAATTGATCTGAACTCCTCCAATAGGGGGCATCTTTGATGTTCCAATCCCCAACTAGAGCTTGGAACTGGTCCTTGAGGATCTTTTGTGAGGGTGAAGGTCTGAAGGTCTCTTCACTTCTCTCAGTTCCCATAGATACTGCCCCCTGGGGCAAAGAGAAGTCTGTAGATTTCATTCATTTATTCATTCATTCATGTCTGTGTCCCACTTTTACTGAGTTCTATATGGCAAGAATGTGCTGGGCTCTGGGGATCGAGTTGTGGAGTCCGGGGTAGGAGAGAAGGTGGTCAGTGATGCAGAGTTTGGAGTGTGTGGTCAATGAGGACAGGTGCCTGGTGTGTGTGTGGGCTGTGGGGCTACCAGGATGTCTCTTGGCTCAACTTCTGTGACCAAGGGGGTTTGGGGGAAGCCCTATAGAGTTCCCCTAATTACTATGATGGCAGGAACAATGACACTGGTCATTATGTGTCTAGGGCTCATGAAGGGCTTTCCTGTCCATTACTTTCTTTGGCCCTCCCTAAGACTAACCCATGAAGGGAAATGGATAGGCAGGAACAGTCCTTTTTCTTTTTCTTTTTGTTGGTAGTAGTAGGACTCAGACTATGGTCTTTGCACTGAGCTACATTTCTTGCCCTTTTTTAAAAAAAATATTTTTGCCTTTTGAGACAGGGTCTCACTATCTCAGTAAGTCACCAAGACTTACTTGCCCAGACTGGGCTTGAAATTGTAATTCTCCTGCCTTGGCCTCCCAGCATGTTGAGATTATGGGTATATACCACCACACCTGGCCAAATGTTCCCATTTTATGGGAGAAGAGACTGAACATTGGTCCTTCTTTGGTCATTCTTTGGTGTGTGTGTGTGTGTGTGTGTTCTGGAGCTTCCTGTTTGAACCCCAGAGCTTGCTTCATGCTCTTTAGTGCCCTGTCAAGACATGTGCAGTGAAAGGGATTTCTAGAAGCTGCAAGGCCCCCTTTTATTTCCTTCTTTCAGTTCCCTTGATCTCTTGACTTTGTTTTTAGATCTGCTGGGACCTTGCTTCAAAATCCCCATGGCTGATTCTTAACCTTTCTACCACCAGGGAACCCTTCTCTTTCCCCTCTCCCATTTGCCCCTGTTTTTAATAAATAGCTACTAAGGAGTTTCATCATCTTACTAATCTAAACTTTATGTAAGCACCAGTTAAGGCCTTTATTAGCACGGGAGGAATAATTTATTACTTATTGGAGAAAGAGTTACTCAGCACCCACTCACACCTACTGCAGTTTCGGGGAACACAGTGGGGATGGACAGGGGTAAACAAAATAATTAGGGCGTTTGCCCTCAAAGCACTTTTAGTCTCTAGCCAATGTAACCATCAGAGTTGATGTAATTAATTGAGAAATTTATTCTTCATAGTTCTACCAATTCAGTGATGAATGGAAGTCCTTTTGTCCATTTGTTAGAGCTGCCAAAACCAAATACAACAGGCTGGGAGTTTAAACAACAGAACTGTGCCTTCCTCCAAATTCTGGGGGCCAGGACTCCAATTCAAGGTAGCAGCAGAACTGGTGTCTCTCAAGGTCTCTCTCCTTTTCCTTGTGGACAGCTGTATTAGTCAGTTTTCCTGTCACTGAGATGCAGGCCCTGACATCCAAAAGTTAAAGGAGGAGAGGTTGAATTTGGCCCATGGGTTATGGGGATTCCGTGTACAGTCAGCTGGCTCCGAGGCTGAGCCGTCACAGTGAAGATGCTTAGTTTATGGTGGCTGGGAAGCACAGCAGGGAAACTGTACCAGAGAGGACGGGGTGAGGGACCGGATGGACACTACCAAAGGCTGTACCTCCAAGACTCACCCAGACACACCCACAAATGTGCTTTACTAATTCCCTAGGTGGTTCCCAAGCCAATCAAGTTGACTCAATTAACATTAACCATCCCACTGGCCATCTTCCTTCTGGGTCCTCACATGGTTGGCCCCTTTGTGCATGTTTGTGTCCTGATTTTCTCCTCTAAGAGCACCAGTCAATCTGGGTTAGGATTCCCCCCAGGACCCCACTGAACCGTAGCAACATTTTAAAGGCTGTCACATTCTGAAGTGTTGAAGGGAGAATCTGACCTAAGCCTGTCTTTTAGCTTTGGTGGTGGCTGCCAGCAGTCCTTGGCTCGCAGTTGCTTCACTCCAGTTTCTTTCTCTGATAGCACTTGACTGCTTCCTATGTGTCTACATTTCTCTCTTATGAGGATAAAGTCACTGACCTAGGAGCCACACTAACCCCCTGCGACTTTGTCTTTGACTAATTATGTTTCAAAGGCCCTATTTCTAAATAGGTCATCTTCACAGGCTCTGAGCAGACACAAATTTTGGGGACTGTATTTAACACAAGTTTGGGAGCATGATAAAAACTATTGTGATTTTATTTTTTGTACTGGGAATCTAACTCAGGGCCTTGCACTTGCCAAGCAGGCGCTGTACCACTGAGCTACATCCCCGACTGGTGAATGCTTGAATAAAAATAGTAAAAGACATATTGCCCTAATTTTCCCTCAGAATACTTGCCCTTACTTTGAACATGCTTATCTCATCATCCTTACTGTAATACATGTTAAAAAATAAACATCTGGCTGGGGATTTAGCTCAGTGGCATAAGCGCCTGCCTTGCAAGCGTGTGGTCACGAGTTCGATCCCTGGTACCAATTAAAAAAAATGTAAACATCCATTGTAGGTTTTGATTGCCCCTTGTATAGAAGCAGGGAGGCCTGTTAGGAGCTATTGCTGTAAGGTAGGATTCTAGATGCGCTGGGACTATCTTGTAGACCCTTCCTCTCCTTATTAAGAACCATTTTTGAGGGCTCCTGAGAGGGAGGGTTCCTCATCATGAACCACAGTCCTGCAGGCCATGAGGTGTGTTTCCCTTTCCCACTACTGGGTAACTGGATAGGGCTCAGGGTAGAAAATGAGCCTGGGTACACAGGGCTTTTCTCTCGCTCTCTCTGTACTGGGAATTAGACCCGGGCCTTAGCATTGAGCTACATCCCAAGCCCCCCTCCACCTTTTTAGTTTTTAGGTTGATATAGGGTCTTTTTGAGTTGCCAGGCTGCATTTGAGGGTTCTTGTGACCCTCCTCCCTCTGCCTTCCACAGTGACAGGATTACAGGTGTGTGCCATCATGCCCAGGTACTGGGCCTCCCTCTGTTGTTTGTAGGTACAGCGTCACGAACCTCAGCATCCTCCTCCCGCTTGTGTGTGCGGTGCTGTTTCTTCTCCTGGTGGCTGCCACACTCCTGGCTTGGAGGATGATGAAGCAACAGAAGAAAGGTGAGAGGACTTGACCTGGGGGGGCTGGCTCTCGATGTGTCAGGTTATGTGGGGCTGATGGCTGGCATGGTCCTTCAGAGGAGCTAGGTGACCCAAGGCATTATCCACAGACTGGAAGGTCACTGTCCCAAAGGCCACCAATGTCTGGCAGTCTGAGGGATTTGGGGTGATCTAGAGCTTGCAGGCGAGCCCCAAGTTGTGGTGTCAGCTGCCGGCCCTGCACATCCTTCCTGTCCTTCTCCTCTCTCTGACCTGCTCTCTTTTGTCTTCTGCTTTGGCCCTCGGGGCAGAGGTGCCAGTGTGAGATTGTCAAGGGGAGACTGAGTTGAGTAGGGAAGGGAGAAGCAGCCTTGTGCTGTGAGCACAGCCGCTCCCGCAGTACATGTGCAGCTGTGAACTTGTGTGGCACAGGCATCCACACATGCACGTGTCACACATGTTCACGCACACCTGACAGTTCCCCAGGCCTGACAGAAAGGTCGTGTCACCCTTGTTCTGCTTCTCTGCCCTCTCCCAGTGTTGCCCAAGCCAGCCTCCTCACTCGGCACACTCTTGCGTTTTAGGGAAGCGCCCTTTGCTCAGGGGTCATGCGGTATGGCCCCATTTTCGTTTTTCCTGTCTGGCTGTATTTCTACTTTCTTACAGAGCCACATCCGCGTTCTTTTTCATAACACCCAGGACCTGAGATTTGAGCAAACCTTCCCTCTGCCATGGCCTGGGGAGTCTCAAGTCCAGGAGGAGAGGAGCCTGACCCACGTTTATGTTTTCTTCCCAAAGTGTGCTCTCCATGACCTTTGTATATTTAAGTGTTTTCTGTGCACCTTGGTATCTAGATGTCTGAAATGGAACCTTGATGGGGGTGCTTATTTTTTTTTTTCTTTGGAGCAGGGAGGACGTTGGCGGGGGGTACGGTAAAGGCAGAAGGAAAAGCAGGAGCCAGTATCCCCCCTCCCCAACCAGTCTGTGCTGCACTGAGCTGGCTTGCAGGTTCCATCTGGGGGCAGTGCGGAGCCCAGCTGGCCCTGATGGAAGGCCCGACTGCCTGGCCTGCTCCTACACCTGGATACCAGGCAGGATCAGCCTAGCTACTGTCCTGTCTGAAGATGGCTAGAATTCATGGTATAAAGCAGACAGGACAGACAAAAGCAACTGCCCTATGGGTAGAGACAGCAGGCACAACTTTGAGATGGCCCCTGAAGGAAGTGTCGGGTAGAGCAAAGTGGAGTAGGCAGAACTTCTGGCAGCATTTCCAGGTCGTGCCCAGGATTTTGCAGAAAGAAACTTCACTCCAGGAACCAAAGACTGGCAGGGCCACCTGGTCATTTGATTGCAACTCTATGTTCGGGTCACCTTCCTTTCAGACAGAGCGCTGGCAGCTCAGATTGGTGATGTGAGCACTGGTGCGTTGTCCTCTGAGCAGGTAAGAGTCCCTGAGGTTGGACCACATAGACCAGCCAGCTCCGTCTCCTCTTCATTATTTTCTGATTCCCGGGAATCCAGATGTTTACAGGTTTCACCTGAGCCACGCACAAAGTATCTATGTACTCGTGGCCTCTGCAGGCCTGGGAGGCTGAGGGGCCTGGGAATAGCCAGCGGGGTGGAAGCTTGGGGAATATGGGGGGCTGAGAAGTAGGAGGCACACGGGGAGTTGGAGGACGTCTCAGGGAAGCAGAGAGGCTCACGTCTCTACATGGAAAAGGAACCTGTGCCTACAGACTGATCGGGTGACTTCCAGCCTGTGTTCTTATCTGTAGCCCAAGGAAGATGACCTCTGCTATGCAAATCTGTCTCTGCATCAGTCTGGAACCTCTCCTGGCTCCTTCTGGCCAAAGGCCTTCAACAAGTCTTCCTCTGCCCAGGCCAACGAAGAGGAAGTAGAATATGTCACGATGGTGTGTGCTTTTGGGGGGCTGCTGTGGGACTGGGGAAGGCAGCTGTGTCTTTGGCTTTCCTGGGGGGGATGGGCTTTCTAATGCCCACGTGGGCACCACTAAGGAGGGTGGGCATTGGGAAGAGCCTCTGTAACTGCAGTACACACCTGAGGAGCCCTGAGGCTTTCAGAAGATTCTGCTCCTTGGGTCTCAATGCTGGGGATTCAGTAGTGCATCTGGTATAATCCTTGTGCTGGGCAGGAGACAGCCAGACTGGGTGAGTGGTGCCAAATTCTACAGGAAGCAGTTACCTGGGGCAGGGGTGGGTTCTGTGTGTTATGGCTGAAGCTGCTTGGGGTTCCTGGCAGAGCAGAGGCAGGTGGAGCACTTAGGAATGGGCTGCAGAACCCTTGCACTCCCCACCTCTCTCCTCTGAGGGTTTTTTCCCCATCCTGACCATGGCCACAGGTTCCTTCCAGACTCTTTGACCTCATAACCACTTCTGTTGCAGGCTCCTGTTAAGAGAGAGGAAATTTCCTATGCATCTCTGTGCTTGGATGCCTTGAATCAGGAGCCAACTTACAGCAACACTGGCCACACTCGCAGCAGGGGCCGTGAGGGTGCCACAGAATACACCAGCATCAGAAAGCCTTAGCCTGCGCTCTGTCTTTCTCTGGGATCTTGCACAAGGCCCCGAGGCATGGTGACACTTGTCTGCTTTCTGCTTCTATCCCCCACCAGGACCAAATGGTGACTGAAGCTTTGCCTGATTAGCCGGTGTGGTGCCCAACTCTGGCCTGTGCTTGGGAACCAGTCTCAGGGTACTTTGAAGAATTAGGGTCCTTTATATAACCCCTCAGCCCCACCTAACTGGGAGGGGCCTGAAGATATGGTCTGGGGCTGTACTTGAATAATAACGACAATGATGACAGTCATAGTGATTATTTATTGCTTACCATGTGCAGTGGACTGGAGGATAACCGCAGGGTGCCTACATATGATTAAGTTATAGATTTTGAGAGGTGGAACTTGTCCTGCATTATCCAGGTGGGCCTAAAATATAATCATAGGGCTCCTTCAAGAAGGAGGCAAGAAAATCAAAAGGGGAGAAGCTGATGTGATGCCGGAAGTGGAGGCTGGAGTGATGTGGCCAGGAGGAAAGGACGGCTGCAGCCTCCAGACTGGGAAGGCCAGGACTGATTGTCCCCTGGAGCCTTGAAGAAGAACCACCCTTGCCAACACCTTGGCTTGGGCTCAGTGGAACTGACTTTGTCACTGTGGCCTCCAGAAGTATAGGAGAATAAATTTATATTGTCATTAATTAAATCACTAAATTCGCAGCAATTTATTAAAGCAGCAAACTCTGAGGCTGGTGCTCATCTCTAAAGGCTTCACACTGAATAATCCATTTCATTTTACAGAGGAGCTTCTTTAATTGGTCCGTTTTACAGATAAGGAACCGAGATTTGGAGAGACCCTGTGATGTGCATCAAGTTTAATGGCTAGTGAGAAGATCAATGGGAACCCAGGTATTTCACTCCAGAGTCTGGAGCCTGGGCCACTACCCTATCCTGTTTATATGAGTAATGTATATTTGCTCCCAAAGCTACTCAGGCAGGAACAGTGAATATTTAGATGCTGGACTTTTATTCTAGGGTCCTTGCAGTCTTCTTGAATCCCTGGGTGTCTCTTTGTCTTCATGGTTACCAATCTGGTCCAAGCAATCATTCCTTCCCAATTCTCCCTCTTTCCTTCACCCTCTGCTTCTGAATCCATTTTCTTCTCAGCAGCCAGAGCTGATCACCTCCTGTTTATGAACTTGCAGTGGTTTCTTCCTCAGCCTTCAGGGACCCAGGGAATCCAGGGACCGCCACCTGTCACTTGGGGTCATCTCCACCCACTCTACCTCTCCCTCACTCTGGTCCAGCCACACCACCTTTCCTCTGTCCTTGTGACAAGATTTCATGGTTTGCGTCTGGAATGTCTCCTGAAGGCCGCATGCTGAATGCTCATTCCCCAGCCCATGGTGCTGTTGGCAGGAAATGCAGCCAGCAGGAAATGGAGCCTCGTGGAGGAAGTAAGGTCACCAAGGGAGTGGCACTGAGGGCTCTAGGGACCTTGGCCTCTCTCTTTTTCTTCCTGCTTCCTTGTCATCATGGGATGAGCGGCTTTCCTCTACCACATGCTCCCTCCTGCAGGCCCAAAGTAGCTATGGATGGAAATTTCCAAAACCATGAACCAAAACAAACCTTTTTCTCCTTATGAATCGATTATCTCAGGTCATTTGTTGCAGGGATGGAAAGCTGAGTAACATATAAGAGCAGGCTGGCTCCTTCTCAGGATGTTGGTACTTGCTGTCTCTTCTTTCTGCCATGTTCTGCCTAAGGTATACAGTGGGCAAATGTTCTGCCCAAGGTCACACAGTGGGCATAACTGGCTCTGCCTCTTTCTATCACTCTTGTGAATAGTTAGTTTCTTTTTGTCATCACAATTCAGCTCGAATGTTACCTCTCAGAGGGGACTTCCTGACCAGCCCGAGAGCAAAGGCCCATGCTGCCCACCTGTCCCTCTCATTGCCCTATCTTATTTCCTTTGCAGTATGTGATCTGTTGTGAAATTACTAATTTATTGATATGTGAGTTTGTTGTTTCTCTGTTCCCACTAGGTGGTATTGTCCCTGAAGGGGACAACTGTCTCACTTTTTCCTGTATCTCCCTTGCCTGGTAGTATCTACCATGTGGCAGATTCCTACGTGTTTTTTGGTTGACTGAGTGAATAAATAACACAGATAGTTTAGACTTGGTTACACAGCACGAGCTCCTGAGAGCTCTTGGGAGTAGCACTTATCCTTCCAGGAGAGGAGTCCTGACCAAGCAACCTAAGGCGGCTGGGGTTGGTTTTCCTGTAGCATGCAATGGAGAGATTTCTGTCCTCTGTTGAAAGTCAAGGAGCCAGTGTGATCTGTGACGCTTTCTGCCTGGAGACAAAGCCTATTGCTTTACCTGGGTCAGTTTTGGTGGAGGCTGATGGTGAAGTGTCAGAGAAAGGTTTGCTGGCTTTCACGGGAAAGAAAGAAAAGCTGGGTCTGAGGACCTCAGGCCCCAACAGGTACAGGGACCACAGAAGTGTCTATGGGACATTATCAGGCTGTCCTGGGGTTTGCCTGATGGCTCCTAGCTCTGTGCAGCCCACAGGACCTGGGACAGATAGCCTTAGTGGATGGCTTCTGTGTCCATTGCTCCAAAGAGGATTCCCTTTCATCTTTTTATTGTCTGAAATACTGGGGACTAAACCTAGGGGCTTTCACTGAGCTACATCCTCAGCCCATTTTTGTATTTTTAATTTTGAGGAGTTTTGCTAAGTCACCAAGGTTGCTCAGGATAGGCTTGTACTTGTGATCTTCTGGCCCCAGCAGCCCCCAGGGTGCTAGAATTACAGGCATGCACCACCTGTCCAGTCTGCCTCCTTGGTATTTTAAGAGATTTTTCTTTTTGGGGGAATTTGAAAACCCCTAGATGATTTTTTTTTTTTTTTTTTGGAATCTGGGAATCGAACTCACGACCTTGTGCTTACCAGTCAGGCACTTATACCACTGAGCTAAACCCTCAGCCAGGATGATTTTTTTTTTGAAGCAGGGTTTTGCTATGTAGTTCAGCAGACCTTGAACTTACTTAGTAGCCTAACTTGGCCTCAAACTCACAGCAGTCTTCCTGTCTCAGCCTCCTGAGTGCTGGGATTACAGGTTGGCTGGCTTGACCCCTAGACTCTTAAACAGTCTTGAGCTAGTCTTTTAAGTTGGTCAAGTCAAACAGGCTGTTTTTGACCTAATCTGTTTGAAGATTTTGGAAGTTTCTGGCAACTGGGCTGAGCAGGTAAATCAGCTTAGAAAGCCTGATCTCACTCTGATCACTATTAATTACCACTCTGATTACCATTAATTGCCAAAACAAGCTTTGAAAAGGTGTCTCTACAGATATATTGCTGGATATGTTTTACTCCAAAATCCCAACCACCTGGACTGGTGCTGTCTGCTGAGGGCATCTCCTACTTTTCTTTCTTTATAAAGTTATAGTTGACAAGTTCCTGACATTTTCGGACTGATGCAGTGAGTTCCCTAGCAGACAGAGCAGATTTCTGACCATGATCCTGATGGAAATGTCTGGCTGGGCTCTTTCTATGCTGGGTTGCAATGGCAGGAGTCAGCTTCTGATCTAATCCAATTTGTTCACGCTTGAACTAGAGATTGGAGAGTGCTGGGGATGTTGCCAGACTGGGAGAAAGGAGACAGACACATGCAAGAAAACGACAAGGAAATGGTTTCACAATGCTGGCAGACTTGTGTCTGGATATTGTCTCAGTCATATTTTGCTGCTTCATAAAGACTTTGCTAACTCAGATTTTGGGTGATTGGCCAGCACCTTTATTGCAAGACAGAGAATTCAGACCTGGCTCCTCTGGTCTGAGTGTGGGTAACATTTATTGTCTTGCTGTGTGGTTTCCTGGAAAGCACATTCTATTAAAACAAACTACAGGATGCTGGAGTTCTCCATTCTGACTGTCTTATTTATAGACATCTAAAGTTGCTGGGGTTTCCCTTCTTTGGTTTTTGAATTATTAATAAAGATTCTACTTCATAAAAATTGGAAGATCTGGACTGTTGTCTTTGGAGAACTATGAGCGTATCATCCGCTTCTGGAAGACAGACTTGATTTGTGTGTGTGTCAGTTGAAGGAGTAAAAATATACGCCAGGTAAGTACTGGATTGGTAGCTGTTAAAATATATGATTAAGGTCGATGTTGGACTGAGTGTAGCTAAAGGTTATCTTTGCTTGATACTTAGCCTTAGAAAGGGGACACGTAGCCTGGGAAGGCCAGACTGCTAGAGTCAGTTGATTTCATGTGCAATCATTTTTTAGATTAGGAGACAGATAGAGCGTTGACTTTTTATTTTACCAAATAGGTGCTTTCTTGCCTCCTTCCTTCCTCCCCCTTTTCCTTCCTTCTTCCCTCTCTCTCTCCTCCTCTCCCTTCTTCCTCTCTCTCTTCTTTAGTTTTCCTCTTTTCTTTTCTTCTTTTTTTAGTCACAGTGAGGATTTAACCTGGTGCGGGAGGTTTTGCACTGAGCTACATTCCCAATGCTTTTTACTTTTTTCATTTTGAGACAGGGTCTCATTAAGTTGCTAAACTTCCCAGGTTGGGGTTGAATTTGTCGTCCTCCTGCCACATCCTCCCAGAAGGCTGGGATTATGGGTGTGCATCACTGTGCCTGGCTCCAGGAGGGACTGTCTTATCCAGTGTAACTGGATCAGTTAATTATAAGTGGGTCACTTCATTGAAAACTGGGGAATCATAAAAAAGATACTAGTATATCTTTTCTTCAAGTATTTCCTCCAAATGAGTAATCTGCTAATTTTGTGATGTTGATCTAGCAATTTTTCTTCTGACTGTAATGAAAGTTGGGGACATTTGTTTTTCTTACATGAACAACCCACACTGTATTGTCCTCAATACAGTTCTAGTTTCTTTTCTAGTTTCTCAATATTGTTCTAGTTTCTTTGAAATGAAGCAATACATCCTAGTAACTTATGAAACAACCTGATTGCAAAAGCTTAATTTATTTTTATATTTTTCCTCCCAATATTTTACAGTTCTCTCATCTATTCCTAATCTGACAGCATTTTTCAGAATAATAGATTGTGTGTGTGTGTGTGTGTGTGTCTTTTTGAGACAGGGTCTTGCTACACAGTTCAAGCTGGCCTTGGGCTCACTTTGTAGCCTAGGCTGGTCTCAAATTTGCAGCGATCCTCCTGCCTCAGCCTCCTGAGTACAGGCATGTGCCACCACACCAGGCTTAAAATGATAGGTTTTAAGGTAGAATCTTTTTTCTTTCTTTCTTTCTTTTTGGAGGCAAGGTTTCACTATGTAGTGCAGGCTGACCTTGAACTTGCTCATGTAGCCCAGTCTGGCCTCAAACTCATGGTGGTCTTCCTGTCTCAGCCTCCAGAGTGCTGGGATTACAGTGTATGCCACCATGCCTGACAAGCAGAATCTTTTCAAAGGAATTTAGTGTTTGTAGAGATTACAGTCACCTTTTTGTTTACATTTTTATTTCATTGATTACTATTCTTTTTGGTTACATTCTATATTAGTGTGTGGGTGGGAATCAGTTATATCACAGTCATTAACATGGATGGCTTAGCGTGAGCAAATCTGGGCCTAAACAGTAGACTCTTGCTAACTGTGCATCTTAATGAGAGAGCACAGATATGAGTGGCTTCTCAGGAAAGAATCTCCCTGTGGCAATGGTGCCATGTGCCACATACACAAAGCTGGAATCTTTCACAGGAGACTGAAGGTGATGGCTGGGCGAGTGGGGGCTTAGCTGAGAAAGTTTCTTCTGAGCTGTCTATTATCACCCCGACTTCATACAAGAAAGGACGCTTGAACAGCCTGAGAAGAACAGTGGGCCTGAGCAAGGACTCTGGGTAACATTTTGCTGACCTCTATTTCTGTTGTGCATTGTATCGGCCCTCTATGTATCAGCTGCTTATGGTCCTCACACATGCACCAAGCCACAAAGGCAGAAAAACCAACTCCAGAGACTTTCTGTCCCTGCTCTCTGGCTGTGGCAAGTTAAAGGGGGAGTAGTGGAGAGGTAGGGAAAGTGTTTCATTCTAAGATGCAGGAAGGCGTAACAGCAGATGAGAGTCAGGGTAAAGAGGAGAGATTCCACCCAGCAATGGTGCTGGTGTCTGTAAACTTTGGTTCGCTTTCCTGGGCGTATTACCCATGCTGCAGCTGGTTTTGGGGGAGGTGAATCCTCAGAGGACAGTTGCTGGTGACTCATTAAACTCAGACTTGTTGAGCCGCTCTGGATGGAGAGTCCTCGGCCTGCTTTGTGACCGAGTGTCTCTTACTGGCTTCAGTGCTGCCTTGGTGTTTGTCCTGGGCTAGGCTGAAACTGCTCCTGGGGTTTCACTAGAATTTTGAGGGGTCTGTACGAGCAAGGGTTTGGGGGAGCTTCCAGGCCCCTAAGCACCCTGAGGTCTAGGGAGGGTTGTGGCAGTGTGACAGTGGGAAAGATTTGGAGCTGGAGTTGGGTCAGAGCCTTAGCTTGGGATTCTGTCTTTGTTACTTCCTGAGTGCCTTTGGGAAATCACCAAATGTCTCTCAAGCCTGTTTGCTCCTCTGCAAAATGGGGCTCAGGAGTTCTCCCTTATCCATGGTGGGTGTGTTCCCAGACTCCCAGTGTGTGCCTGAAACCATGGGTAGGACTAAGCCCTATATGTACTATGGTTTTTCACACACATATGTGCATGCATACATACCTATGTACTTTCAATCAAACAACAGTATAATAAGAGATTAACAGCAATGACTTGTAATGACATAGAACAATTCTTATATTATACTTTAATAAAAATCATGTGAACGCAGCCTCTGCATCTCAAAACGTCTTATTTCCTTATTATACTACAGTAATACTTTCAGACCAAATTGACTACAGATAAATCAGATAAAATGAAGCCATGGTTAAGTAGGGGGTGAAAGTGTCATCGATTCCAGAGGGCTATGGTTTCCAAGCAACTTTCTGCCACTGGTCCCTCTCAAAGTGAGTCCCAGCTGTCCCCAGGAAGCCCACCTAAGGGAGATCTCTCAGGTGCTCCCTCACACATTCCTGGGTGGGCCCTTTTCAAAAATAAAAAATAAAGTGCTTTTGATACATGGTCTCACTACATAGGCTGGCCTTAAATTCACTATGTAGCCCTAGCTGGCCTTGAGCTTGTGATCTTCCTGCCTCAGTTTCCTTTTGTTAAAAGATGAAATGTAGCATTTAGTAAATATGCATGTTATATATGTGAATAATTTTTTTGTTGCTATTCTATTCTTTTTACCCTTTATTTAAGTTTTAAAATTTCAGAATAAACAATGAACTTTCACACATGTGTTTAATGGAATACTATGTAAGTCATTCAAAGAAGGAAGAAAATATGCATGATAAATGCTTGTGATGGATCTATGTATAATGAAACAGTACTGAGATGAGATGAAATCATGGGTAACTCTTTTCTTTCTTTTGTATCTTCCAAATGTTCTAATTAAACATATATTAACAGTAGTGGCCTCTATTATTCATCTCAGTTCAGTGCGGAACTCACAAACACAGCTGGTTTATTCCTGCTTTAACCCTGTGTCACAGCTATTCACCCCAAGGACCTGCCCGAGGCTGAAGTCCCTCCTGTCCACCTTTGTGATCTGTCCTCCATGCTATGGTTTCTGTTGCCTATATCACTTGAAAATGTAGTTGAGTGGGGCCAGCTGTTCCTGGCCCGCGAACCGCGAACGTCACTGTTGATCTAGCTAGTCCTTCGAGAAGAGAACTGCCCATTTTTGTGCCATTTGGCTCAAATCATTGACGACCCCTCCCTGATTACTCATGGCACATCTGACACTGGGTGTGGTGTGAGGCCAACAGGGGAGATCCTCTCTGAGGAACACACAGAGCCAGGTTCAGATCCCTTCAGAGCTTTTATCTGACATCAGGATGGGCTACACCATTCATGGGACCAAATACTAAATAAGAAGATGGGGTTCCTTGCAAAACAATTACCAAGACCTTCAAGTTAGTGACTGCAGAGCATGAAGTCAAATATGGGCCCTTCTGAGTGCAAGTCCTGTGTGCCTGAGTAGTGTACGTATCTATAAAGCCACGTTCTGCTCCAAATCCCATCTGCTTCTTGGAGCCTTGGGTGCCTTAACCCTCAAATGGAAAAACCCAAGCACATCTGTGCTAGCTGATGTGGTCCCAAAGACAGGAAGAAAGGTTTCCTGGCATTATGGCCTGAGTTCTAGTTTCTGGGTTCTCATTCTCTTCCCAAAAGCAGCTTCTTCCCCTACAGCTGGATTATCTACTCTCTTTTAGGGTAAATTCTACTTCTAATACTATCTCAGGTAAAAGAAGAAATGAGAAACATAATAAAAAGAATTGCTAAGCACCCCTAAAAATGACACAGGTGGAAGAATAGAGGAGTATAGAAAAACGAGGGAAATCTTCAATGAAGAATATAAAAAAGATTTAGAATACATGAAACAGATTCAAAGAGATTGCCATGAAATTAAAATGTCCATTGAAAGCTGGCAAAACTGCTTGAAAGAAACTAAAGATAGACTTTCAGATCTTGCAGACAGGTTTGCATTTGTGGTCATGAAAGGAAAGATCTCTTAAAAATAACAAGGAACCAGGAAGTAGCAATACAAAGGCTACAAGATGACAAGAGAAAGTATAACCTAAGAATAAAAAATGTGAATGAAGAAGCAGGGTAAACACAAGTGAAATACAAAGGCTATTTACAGAAATAATTAAAGAAAACTTCACAGGCACAGGAAAAGGAAATGATATTCAGATAAGTGAGGCACACAGAACTCTAGCCAGCTATAACTAAAATAGATCACACCCAGACATGTAGTAATCAAGATCCCAGAAATTCAACACAAGAACAGAATATTAAAAGCTGTCCAAGAAAAGAAATAGGTCACCTATAAAGGAAAGCCCATCAGAATCACACCAGACTTCTTGACAGAAGCCATCAAATCAAAAAGAGCTAAGAGTGAAATATTCCAAATCCTGCAAGAAAATAACCTCCAACCCAGATTGATGTACCCTGAAAAACTACCTTTCAAAGTTGACAAATGTCTTTCCATGACAAAGAACAACTGAAGGAATTCATGACCACCAAACCAACTCTACAAAAATACTGAAGGACATTTTAGAGAGAGAGAGAGAGAGAGAGAGAGAGAGAGAGAGAGAGAGAGAGAGAGAAAGACCATGGTTTCAGGAACAATGGCAGAGAGGCCTTACTGAATGGGGCAGACAATGGAATGAAGGGGAAAAATAGGCACTCAATAGCAGAAAAAACAGCACGGCAGAGACGAGGCAGAGAAGGTTGGCCATAATCACTAATATAGATGGTCTTGACTCACCAACAAAAAGAAACACAGGCAGAGTGGGTCAGGAGATTGGGTCCATTAATATGCTTTATAGCCCAAAAGGGGGTTTATAGGCTGAAAGTCAAAGATGAGAAAACAATGCTCAGTGTGACAGGGAACAGAAAAAAGTGGGAGTAGCTTGCCCCTCCGCTGCAGATTGGCTAGATAGCCATGACACTTTTATATAATGGAAAATTACTCAACTGTAAAGAAAGAAAACCTTGAGGTTCTTGAAGGTAAATGGATACAACTTGAGATCATGCTCAAGGGCTGAAAAGTTTCAGAGTCTCTTAGGTGAATCTAAAAACTAAAGGAGTTAGTGGGATCCAAAATGTACAATACATCCTGTGAAAGTGAAAGGGGAGGAAGTGTCTAAAAAGAGAAGCCATTGTTAATCTTTTTTTTTTTTTTTTTTGTCTTTTTATCGGTACCGGGGATCAAACTCACGACTGCCTGCTTGCAAGGCAGGCGCTTATGTCACTGAGCTAAATCCCCAGCCCCTGTTGTTAATCTTTTATCATGATTTGAAACCCATATTGTTGTCATTGTTCTGCTTAGTTTTGTTGATCTTGTTTCAGTTTGTCTATTTGTTTTAGATTTGATGGCATGGACCACTATTCCACAGATAGCAGGATATATTATGGTAACCATCTTTAATTTCCTGTTAGCTTGATTTGAAGCCCTGTATTGCTTTCACGGTCTGTTTTGACTGATTTTATTCTATTCTGTTTTGTTTGATAGTGTCAAGTCTGATGATATAGGCAACTACTTTGAAGACAATAAGATGCACTACGGTACCCATTGTGGTTTGACTATTGTCTTCTTTTGAAGTTCTATAATGTCTCCATTGTTTTGTTTTATTGGTTTGTTCTGCATGGTTTTGTTCAATTTTATTATGCCTGATGATATGGGCAGTTCTTTTGAAGATAATAAGTGGTGTTATGCTAGCCATTATCGAGCTCTTTGTATTTTGTTTTTAAGTCATGTACCATGTTCATCCTTTTGTTTTGATCGACTCTACTTTGTTTTGTCTCATTTGGTTTTAATTTCTTCAAAATAAAAAAATTTGCAAATTAAAAAAAATTCTGCTTCTAGCCATAGCACGAAATCAGGCTGCACAGACCCAGGGATCCAACTGCTTTTCAGGGTGACACCAACACATTTTTTAAGTCCAATAATTGATAACTTAGTCCAGTTCTTTAGTCTTAGATGATAACAATTGTGGGTCACAAATAGCCCACACTTGCAAGGCAGGTGCTTATGCCGGGACAGTAACAGTTTTAGTTCATTTCTTTTTCAGTCATTGCGTATTGGAGATTTAAAAACTTTGAGATGCAGCCTTATCCACATTATCATGGGAGCATTTGCTTTTGCATGACTAGCCTCCAGCTCCACCACCCCAGTTTCCTTTGGAACCTACTGTCTTCCGCTCTTGAGTCACAGAGCTGGGGTGTGACTGGTTCCACCTTTGCGGGGAGGATGTGTCTCACATTTAAGGCATTCATCTTAGTCTATCTACCAGCCACAGTAAATGGCTCAGGGGTAAGCATGTGACAATTTCAGTCTCTGCAGCGATTGGTCCAGGGATGAACATGTAGACATTTTAGTATTTACGATGATTGGTTGAGAGAGGGATATGGGGCTGTTTCAATCCCTAATGAGCATTAGTTCTAGGATTTAATGGAAACTAGATGCTCTGAGATTGTGCACCTGGAGATACTGGTAATAATGTGACCTCCTGATTCACCTGTGAATCAAACAAGTTGGAGGGAAGAATATTGACAGGTATAGAGAATGTGACTGTCACTGTTTGAGTCCGTGGGTACAACGTTGCACTTCAGCAGCACCTCCAAGTTTCTCAGTCTATGAGACAACGGTCCCTCTCCTCCCTCCCTTCTATCTAGTCTGAGTTGGATTTCATCACTGGCATCTAGAATGGCCATGGTCACCAGAGTGCTCTCTCATAGTGGCAATGCATTGCTGTGTGTGCTCAGTGTGTGGAAATAACATGAGGTAGGTTATGTGGAAGTGCTCTGCAAATGACAAAGGGCAATTGGAACACCCGAGAACATGGAGTTGGCTAATGGCAGAGGCAGGACAAAGGTCTGGCTCTAATGACATTGCTAGTGTAACTCTTTCTCTTTGCTACTGAGTTGCCTTTTCCCTAAGGAAATCAGTGAGCTGGGCAGGGAGGCATCAGGGAAGGTGGTCATCAGGTCAGGTAATGGACTAGACAGGGAGCAGTCAGGGCGAGGAGTGGGCAGCACAGGCAGGGGTGAGGGCAGCTAATGAATAGGGCAGGTGGTGGTCAGAAAAGCTGGTGGACAGGACAGGGGACAGGCAGATTTGGGGTGATCAGTGGCTCTGCTGTGTGCCTTTCTTGTGTGCTCCTGATGCTGTAAGACGAAGTTTGCTGGGGACTTGGTCCAGAGTGTGGAAGAGTGAGTGTAATGATTGATACACAGTGTCAATCTGAGAAGCCTAGAAACTTAACTAAGTGACTCAACAGTTCTATACCATACCTTAAGGCAGCTACTTATGCCTGTTTATGCCCTAGGATGATGTTGTGATTTGTAAACATCCTTATCTTGTGCAAGAGGAGGGCATGGAGATGCTGTGAGTGTTACACCCACCCTGGGGTGGGTAACCTGCTTATAACACAAGCGAGGAAAAGAGGCTTGTTCTCACACGTCTTCTGCCACCATGAGCTGTTGCCCCTCTGCCATGCCACCCTGCCTTAGGGCTAGCTGATTATGGGATGAAACTTCCACAGACTGTAAGCCAAGTAAACCTTTCCTCCTTTAATTTTGGATATCTGGTGTTTTGTCTTAGCAACAAGAAAAGTAACTAAGACAGTGAGGGTTTTGGGCATGATCACAGAATTTGTTTGGCCCCTGCCTTTGTTTTTCTGAAAGGTTTCTTCACCAGGTATGGTAGCACATGTTTGTAATCTTACCACTCTGGGAGACTGAAGGAGTGGATTGCAAGTTCAAGCCTGTTTTGGAATTGCAAGCTCTAGCTTAGCCTCATTTAAGCAGCTTAGCAAGACTATTTTTAAATGAAAGTTCTGGGAGGCTGGACATGGTGGTATACCCCTGTAATCCCAGCACTCAGGAGGCTGAGACAGGAGTA